CGTGCACACACACACACACACACACGCGCAGGGTCCATCGTGGGCCGATGGCCGCCGAGCTGCCCTCTCCCCAGCGCAGCACCCCCACTCCCCCCACGCTTTGTGCACACACACACACACGGACAGACGTAAATGTGTGTGCGCGTGTGTATACGTGTCGCCATGTATTGTAGTTTTTATATGATTGCATATACACATACCTATATGTACATATATCTACATACATACCTATGTATATACCGCTACAGATATGTATATAAATGTGTATATATCTGTATGTGTACACACAGGTGTAGACGTACATACAATTGCAGTTTTTAGCTACAGGGAGACGGTGCAGTGGTGGACTTGGCAGTGGTGGGTCGGTGGTTGGACTCGGTGATCCCTTCCAACCTGGACGAGTCTCTGATTCTCTGTGTGTGCACGCACGTATATATGGGCAGACACAGGTATAAGTAGGTATTGATATGTAGATGTAGCTAAAGGTATAGGTATTTAGGTACAGCTGTATCTGCAAAGGGGGGTGTATATATATATATACACACACATTTATGTATTTTTATACACATGTGTCTATAATATGTGTGTGTTCATATGTATATTTATGCTTACGTACATATGTAAGAAAATACATGGGGGTGTGTGTATATAGGCATAGTTACAGGTAGACAGAGATATATATAGGTATAGATGTACAGATATGTATTCACATAGGTGTAAATCTGTGTGTATATACACATAAATAATATTTGTAATTTATATATGTGCATATATATACATATGCGGATATCTCTATATGGATCTATAGGCATATAGAGCTCTGTGTATATATACACACACATGTATTTGTAATTTTTGTATATTTATACATCAGTGCAGATATAAATAGGCAAAAGTGTATAGCTCTAGCTACACATATGCAGTATACGTGTGTATACACAGATACACGTATAGATATATTTGTAATTTTGTACATATGTGAGTGTATATATATGCACACAGACATCTATGTAGTTATATATCTAAAAATAGATGTCCGTATATAGATAAAGGTATGTAGGTAAAGGTACAGATAAATCAACGTATCTCAAGGGGGGGTGTGTGTACACAAACACCTCCTGCCACGTATTTATATATGTACACACACATCGAGAGTAGGGGTATCGCTATAGCTGTGTCTACATATAGAGTGGATAAGCACACACGTGTATATACATGTCTATGCATAGAGCTACAGTGTTGTACATAGATTTACATAAATTTATAAGTCTTACATTTATGTGTGTGCACATACAGGGACACGTGTCTGTATGTGTATATATGGCTATAGATATATATAGGTATTGGCAAAGATAAGTGTGTTTCCGCACACAGAGGGGGAGAGAGTACACATAGATATAGACAGACAGATATCTATAGCTATATCTAAATTACAAATACGCTTATGTCCATATATATAGGCATGTGTTTATATATATAGGTATAGATATGAATATATACTTACAGAGCTAGGTATTGATAAGATATATCTGCACATATAGACACATATATCTGTATATACATACATTACGTATATATCTATTTGTAATTTTCATGTGCATGTATAATACAAATATATATGTAGCTGTGTCATATTTATATGGATATGTACACATCTCTGTATCTACATATATATGTATAGCTATATATGTCTATATGCACAAATACTCGTCTACATTTGTGTTTGTATAGATATTATATATGCAATTTTTATAGATGTGTGCATATATAGCTACATACATATATATGTAAATAGGTATTGATACCTGTATAAAGATTGGTATATAACTATAGGGATATACGTAGATAGATCTACATCTATATATACCGCTGTAGACGTATGTGTATATGTATGTACACACTTGTGATTTATATGTGTGTGTGCATATATAGATACATCTATATGTAAATATAGCTAAAGGCACTTGTAGATACATCGGTATATCTACACAGCTTATAGATATGCATACAGATGGATGCACACAGGTGTGTAAAATGTACGAATATATGTGTATTCCCAGGTGTGCCTGTGCACACACGCGCTCGCACACTTGCCCACTCTTGCACACACACTCACACACCCCCCCCC